AAAAACAAAAAAAAATCTAGCCAGGCGTGGTGGCATGTGCCTGTGGTCTCAGCTACTTAGGAGGCTGAGGCGGGAGGATTGCTTGAGCCCAGCAGAAGGTGGAGGCTGCAGTGAGCTGTGAGTGGGAGTGAGCCACTGCACTCCCACTAAGGGTGACAGATCAAGATCTTAGAAACAAAACAAAACAACAACAAAAGAACCAAACCTCAGCTGGGTGTGGTGGCTCATGCCTGTAATCCCAGCACTTTGGGAGGCCAAGGCAGGTGGATCATTTGAGGTCAGGAGTTCAAGACCAGCCCAGGCAACATAGTGAAACCCCGTCTCTACTAAAAATACAAAAATTAGCTGGGTGGGAGTAGTGTGTGCCTGTAATCACAGCTACTTGGGAAGCTGAGGCAGTAGAATCACTTGAGCCTGGGAGACGGAGGTTGCAGTCAGCCAAGATTGCGCCACTGCATTCCAGTCTGGGTGAGAGAGTGAGACCCTGTCTCCAAAAAAAAAAAAAAAATTATCAAAGTGTGGTGGCGCCCACCTGTGGTCCCAGCTACTCGGGAAGCTGAGGCTGGAGAATCATTTGAACCCAGGAACCCGGGAGGCGGAGGCTGCAGTGAACCGAGATCGTACCTCGGCTCTCCAGCTTAGGGGACAGAGTGTGGTCCTGCCTCAAAAAAACAAAAACAAAAACAAAAACAAAATCAAAGCCAAAGCCAAAACCAAACCTGTATATGAATGTGTGTAACGCATTGCTCGTAATTGAAAAAAGTAGAAACAACTCAAATGTCCATCGAAAGACATTTGATGAATAAATACACCGATTATTTGCTTATTTACATTGAAATATATAGAATACATTATTCCATATAATAGAATATTTTTCAGCCATATAAAGGAATGAAGTACTGTTACCTCCTATAGCATGGACAAACCTTGAAAATACTATGCTCAGAAAAAGAAGCCAGATATAAAAGGTTCCACGTTGCGCAATTTCATTAACATGAAATGTCCAGAAGACGTAAATCTAGAGACAGAAAGTAGACGAGTGTTTCCTAGGGCTGGGAGGTGGGGTGAGTTGGGAGTGGGGGTTAAGGGGCATGAGGTTTCTTTTTGGGGTGATGGAAACGTTCTGGAATTAGACAGTGGTGATTGTAACTTTATGTTTTGAGAGACAGGGTCTTGCTCTGTCATCGAGGCTGGCATGTAGTGGTGCAATCATAGCTCACTAAGCCTCAGCCTGGGCTCAAGCAATCCTCTCTCCTTAGCCTCCCAAGCAGCCAGGACTACAGGAGTGTGCCACTTCATCTGGCTAATTTAAAAAAAATTTTTTTTGTAGAGATGGGAGTCTTGCAATGTTGCGCAGGCTGGTCTCAAATACCTGGCCTTAAGTGATCCTCCCTTCTTGGCCTCCCAAAATGCTGGGATTATGGGCATGAGCCACTATGCCAGACCAACTGTAACTTTAAAAGGGTGCATTTTATGGTCTATGAATTATATCTTGATTTTAAAAGATGGTGAGAGCTCTGCACCCAGGAGCAGGGGCAGAGATCAGGAGAAAGTGTGCGGACAGGCAGGGGCCATGGATGCTGCACACCCACAAAGACCCTGTAGAGCTTCTGACTTGTCCCTGGCTGGGGTGGGGCCCTCGCTGCTGCTGCTGGCCCTGGGCCTCGGGGCTAGGCACATCCTGAAGGCAATCATTGTCTAGATGTGAGGAGTTCTGGGTTTCAAATACAAAGAAAAGGGTAAGTAGGTAAAAATGAAAGTTTGTTTTAAGAAGCAAGAAAGAGCTGGCAGTGAGAAAGTAGAGGCAGTAAGTGTAGATTTCTTTCGCAGCTAAGAAATAATGAGGTCTTCAACCAGGTTGAAGATAGGATTTCTTTCTACAGTTATATTTAGGGCAATCCTAAGCAGGTTTTTTGTCCTCTAGTAGAGGGGAAAGAGGAAATCAACAAGGATACATGAACAACACTAGAGTAAAAATGGAAAATAAAAGGAATATGTATGAAGGCTGCCATGTAAGGCTAGGCTGGCTGTGCAGTGCACAGCTGTAGGAGGAACAGGTACACTGAGGTCTAGACACGCAGCCTCTCCCGGAGATGTGCCCTGCACAGTCCTTATCCTGGCAATAGAGAAGCTCCCTCCTTTGAGACAGGAGCCATTGGAGAGGGGAGGAGGGTACATGGAGACACTGAGGCAGGGTGGAGGGGGGTTCAGGAGCCCCGGCTTAGGCTTTCTTCTTTGACATTTAAATAAGAGGGGAGGATCTCTTTGGAGATTAAGAGAGAATAATAGTTATTTGTGGGAGATCAAAAAAGTCTGGAGCAACAAGACAAGACAGGAAGTCGAGAACATTAAGGACTTCTCTAAGGCCAGATGGCCTGATTTCTAGTGGACTCAGCTGCCACCACCCTGTAACTTCCTCCAGCACCTGAGCCAGGGTAAGAGATCTGCAAGTGGCTCATGGGGATCACTCAGTGCTGGAAACCAGAGAGCAGGGAGAAGTCAGAGGAGCACAGCTTCCTAAGGGGGTGGCCGATGGGGCTGAGTGGAGAGGAGAAGGGGTCTGTGTGTGTCCTCATTCACCTGGGGTCCATCCCCACTGAGCAGAGAGGAGAATGGGTCTGGGTGTGCCCTTATTCACCTGGGGTCCATCCCCACCAGTCGGAGAGGAGAATGTGTCTGTGTGTGTCCTCATTCACCTGGGATCCATTCCCACCGAGAGGAGAGGAGAATGTGTCTGTGTGTGACCTGAGATCCATCCTGGGGCCTTTCCTGAGTGCCCAGGAGGAGCTGGAGCTGACTGGGTCTCAGCACTGTTGGAGCTCAGTGGGGTGCAGGCAAGACTGGCTAAGTGACAAACCTGGACAGAGATGCCAGGAGGAGGGCCAGTGGCAGAGCTGGGAGTGAGGCCAGCAAGGACCCGGTGCAGATCTAGGCATTCAGAGGTGGAGTGCTTGGAGTCCTACGGAGGGTCCCGACTGGGGTGGAGGCCACTCATGTGAAAGGACAGGATCACACAGGGTCTGAGGAGGAGGGCAGAGGACAGGAGAGAACGACAAGAGGACACCCTGGATACGGGTGGGAGACAGGACTCTGGTGCTCAAGAGCAGGCCTTGGCTCCTGGTGCCTGGACCCCACCGCGTGCTGTGCGCGTCATGTCCACCTGGTACAGCGCCTCTTCCCATGCTGGGCAAACCCTTCATTACTCTTGGCTTTTGTCACTTTCCCTGCTGTCATCATAAATACAATTTCACAGCTACTCTAAAGTCCAGCTTAGTGTATAGTAACATTCTCAATCCTCTGCTCCCATTATATAAAACATTCCTTCCTGAATTTTGTCATTCAAGGAAGAGTCTTACGGTGGTAGGCTTTCTGGAGATATTTTTCTGATTCAAATGCAAATTTGAGTTCTATACTATTCATTCACTGATTTGACAAATCTTTGTGAGTCCCCACCCTTTGTGGAGCACAGTAGGGACCAGAGGGATGAGGTCTCACCCCTGGGCACAGATGCTGCAGCAGGTTGAACAGTACAGCAATACATGGAAATGTGCATCAGACCAGAAAGGAGCAGTGCCGTGTGGAACTTCAGGGTAGGGAGGTCAGGGGAGGTCCCTGAGGAGATGCGCACAGGGCCCACTTGGACGAGGTTGGGGAGGGAGACACACAGACATTTGGGGAAAGAGCTTCCTGAGCCCCAGGGCAGGAAAGACCCGAGTGAGGTGGGTAACTGGTGTGCTCAGGCCCAGCCAGGGTGGCTGAAGAGGGAGTACCGGGAGGCGGGGGTGGCAACCAGGTCAGACAGCAGCTGGAGCTCTTGCAGGCCCCCCAACTTCAGCAAAAACAGAAACAGAGGCGGGTGCATGGGGAGGGGAGTGCAGGGGCTTGAGAATGCAGGGGGCTGGCCTAGTCAAGGGCTGAAGAACGGACCCGCCACCCACTCCCCTCTGGCTTCTACCCTGAGGGATCCCCATGATCTGCTTGCTCCTCCCCCACCCTGCAGGTGCTGGGCAGCCTTTCTGTGTGACATCCTGACGATGAACAGGTGACAGGATATGAGCTGGGAGGGGAAGCGCAGAGAGGGGTGAGGGGACCGCAGGGGGAGCAGGAGAGGCTCAAGGTGATGGGGAGGTGGCGCCTGCAGCTGCTGAGGGGACAGTGACTCTGACGCAGGGACCTTCCAAAAGCGCGCCCTGCCCACTTCCCTTCCTCAAAGCGGCACTGATGCGGCAGGCCCAGTGAACACCTGTGATGCATAAGCTAAGCACAATAATCCTCTCCTCCTTTTTTCTGGAGTGTAGTCTCTCCACCTCTCTTGCAGCTGGTGCAGCTGCATGACCTGCTCTAGAAAGTGGGGTGTAGCTATTGTCTGCACCGGGCTCCCCAGGAGCACCTGGACTTCGCTGGGCCAAGGAGAGCCTTGCATCTGCCTCTCCCTCCTGCTTTGGAGACTGGAGCAGGTATTCCACCAGGAGGAAGAGAAGCATCATTCTGAGAATAAAGATGCAGAAGAACAAGCCTTGGACCACACTGCCTAGCTGCCCATCAAAACCGGAGACTACCTGCCTCTGGAATTCTCTGTGAGCATAAGCCACACAGGCAGGGTCTTTCACCCGCAGCTTGAGACGCCCTGGCCCACAGACAGGCTGGGGCTGAGTGCGCAGCAAGCACTTTGGCTCTCCTCCGAGGGCAGCGTCACAGCCAGCACTGGCTCACTCCTTCTGTGGCACTCGCCTGCAGGGTGAGGGACTCGCTGGTTACTTTATCTTTTCTAATACATTCTCTAGGAATTCTTTTTAGTGGAGAAGAACCACCACTTCTTTCATAATTAGGTAACTCATGGCATCCTACTTATCTACTCTTCTTCTCAAAATGATTAATTACTAGACACACAAAAAATATAATTTATATCTTATGAAAGCAGCCTTGGAATAATTTCAGGCTTTTAAAACCACGTTGGCCTTCCTGCAGATCTGATAGTATTGTGAGCTCATATATCTTACCACTGTGAAGTCAGAGTAGAAAATACATCATCTCTTTCAGATTCCTGGAATAACTTCAGAAGTTCTGGATCCCCAGATAAATGTGCAAGAATGCGCAATTCAATCTGTGAAAAATCTGTGAGGCAGAATTCTGCATTAAGTTAGAGTTTGCCAGCAGCGTTCCTCGTGGGTGCTGCCCAGTTGGCCACCCTCAGACTCTCCTCACTCAGCAGCCTGAAGGTCCACACCCCGCCTCCCGTCTGCCAGGGTCCTCTGGCCTCAGTGTCAGGAGGTGAGAAATGAAATGGGGAGGATGGTGCAAGATGAGGAGGCTCAGGAGTGAGTGAGAGTGTGTGTATGGAGGGGAGCTGTTGTTATAAATAGGATGACCAATTACCCTATTTATAGGCTGCATCAACAAAATGACATTGGGCAAAGGCACAGAGGAGGCAAAGGAGGGCACCAAGATGGTCTCTGGGGAAGAGGAATGGCCTGGGCAAGGGCCTGGAGTGGAGGTGACTCTGAGCTGGGAGGGGCAGGGCCCGGCAAGGCCACAGGGAGCAGGGCAGACAAAGTACAGGGGTGGAGGGCAAGGGTATCTGGGATTTAGATACGATGACATGAGGGGACACTGGAAGCAAAACTTGTCACTACGTACTGTGCCTTAGAATGTATTTGAAAGTGGCCAGGCACACTGGCTCATGCCTGTGGCTCATGCCAGCACTTTGGGAGGCCAAGGTGGGCGGATCACCTGAGGTCAGGAGTTTGAGATCAGCCTGGCCAACATGGTGAAACCCTGTCTCTACTAAAAATATAAAAATTAGCTGGGCCTGGTGGTGCACACCTGGAATCCCAGTTACTTGGGAGGCTGAGGCAGGAGAATCACTTGAACCCAGAACCCAGGAGGCAGAGGTTGCAGTGAGCCGAGATTATGCCACTGTACTCCAGCCTGGGCAACAAGAGCGAGACCGTCTCAAAAAAAAAAAATAATTTATTTGAAGGAATGAATTATATAAGGACCTTTGAATTATTCAATTTCTAAACATTTGAACTCTATGAAAATGCATCAAGTAAGCTACAGCAACGTACCTGCTGCTAGAAAGGTGTGGCCTTTGGATGAAACAAACATGGCCCTCGGGGAGATGGTGAGAATCTCGTCTTCTTTACCTGAATTGTTTTTTCAAGAGCATTTAGTGAATTTGGTCATGAACTGACTCGTAGCTAGTCCTCAATACAATATTATTTGAATATTATTCTAAAGTCAAGAGTTAAGATTTTAAATTTTTCTGAATATTTTTATTAATTTAAGTTTTTTAGACATGGGGGGGTCTCACTTTATTGCCCAGGCTGGAGTGCAGTGGCACAATCATAGCTCACTACAGCCTTGCACTCCAGGGCTTAAGCAATACTCCTGCCTCAGCCTACCAAAGCAGCTGGGACTACAGGTACACACCACCATCACCACCTAATTTTTAATTTTCTTGAGGGACAGGCTCCCACTATATTGCCCAGGCTGGTCTCAAACTCCTGGACTTAAGTGATCCTCCTGCCTTGGCCTCCCAAATTGCTGGGATTGCAGGTGTGAGCCAAGGCACCTGTCCTTAATGTAATTTAAAAAATAACATATTACTACTGAAAGCTAACTAGGTTTTCTGATTTTAAATTTTTCTGTTCTTGGCCGGGCCAGTGGTTCACGCCTGTAATCCCAGCACTTTGGGAGGCCAAGGACAGCGAATCACTTTACGTTGGAGTTCAAGACCAGCCTGACCAACATGGAGAAACCCTATCTCTACTAAAAAAAAACAAAATTAGCCAGGCATGGTGGCACATGCCTGTAATGCCAGCTACTCAGGAGGCCGAGGCAGGAGAATTGCTTGAATCAGGGAGGCGGAGGTTGCAGTGAGCCGAGATTGTGCCATTGCACTCCAGCCTGGGCAACAAGAACAACACTCTGTCTCAAAAAACATATATATATGGCCACGCACAGTGGCTCACGCCTGTAATCCCAAGCACTTTGGGAGGCTGAGGCAGGCGGATCACGAGGTCAGGGGTTCGAGATCAGCCTGGCCAACATGGTGAAACCCTGTCTCTACCAAAAACACAAAAATTAGCTGGGCAAGGTGGTACATGCCTGTAGTCTCACCTATTCTGGAGGCTGAGGCAGAAGAATGGCTTGAACCTGGGAGGCAGTGGTTGCAGTGAGCCAAGATTGTGCCCCCCCACCCGGGGGAAAAGAGCGGACTTTTATCTAAAAAAAAAAAAAAAAAAAAAAAAATTCTGTTCTGTCTAGAATTCTTAATGAAAAAAGGAAACCCAGACATTGACAACTGAATGCATTCCAGTGAAAGCAATCTTGAAACTCAGAACCTCACTGATGGAAGGTCTATGTGGGAAGCACAGCTGTGATTTTCCCACTAAAGACATTTTAAAGGGGCAGCAGGGGATGAAGCTGCTCAGGAGCCCTCTCCATGGACACTGTTTCAGGACAGTCAAATGTATTTTAGAAAGGACTACTCATTGGGACCGGGCACAGTGGCTCACACTTATAATACCAGCACTTTGGGAGGCCGAGACAGGAGGATCACTTGAGCCCAGGAGTTTGAGACCAGCCGGAGAAGCATGGTGAAACCCTGTCTTTACTGAAAATACAAAAAATTGACTGGGCATGCTGGTGGGTACCTATAATCCCAGCTACTCAAAAGGCTGAGACAGGAGAATTGCTTGAACCCAGGAGGCAGAGGTTGCAGTGAGCTGAGATTGCACCACTGCACTCCAGCCTGGGCAACAGAGTGAGACTCCATCTCAAAAAAAAGAAAAGAAAAGAAAAGAAAAGAAAGGACTGCTCATCAGGTTTCCTTGTTTTGCTAGGACCTTCCTGCACAGCAGGGCCCCCAGCAGAGGGGCAGGAGTGCCACTGCCAAGGGTAGGAGTGTATGGGGCATGGGCGGAAAAACTCTCATTTGCTCAGATTGGAACTTTCTCTTTTTTATAAATGTACCCATCAGTGTTACAGCAGAATAGCTTAAAAGAAAGAAGAGTGTTAGTATGCTTTTATAAACATTTCCAGTAATTTTCAGACTTTAATAAGCACTAGTGCTATTACATGTTTGTTTTTTCTTTATTGGGAGGCTGGTGGGGGAAGAGATGGTAGGAGGAAAGCTACTTTCCTGATATAATTATCATCTATTTCTACTTGTAAATGGCTAACAGGGAGGTACCATATCACTTTAGCTGTTTATTATTTTTTCAATGTATATTTAAATCCTGGTCATGCAAATACAGAGAACTTCAGGAAAGTGAAGCAGTTAGTTATATAGAAAAGCAATGACAAGTAACTTTTAAAAAAATGTTTAAAAGGGCACAGTGGCTCATATTTGTAATCCCAGCACTTTGGAAGTCCAAGGTGGGAGGATCACTTGAACCCAGGAGTTTGAGAGCAGCCTTAGCAACATGGCAAAGCCCCATGTCTACAAAAAATACACAGACACACAAAATTAGCCAGGTATGGTGGTGCATGCCTTTAGGCCCAGCTACCCAGGAGGGTGAGGTGGGAGAATCACCTGATCCCAGGGGGTCAAGGCTGCAGTGAGCTGTGATTGCACAACTGTACTCCAGACTGGGTGACAGAGTGACACCCTGTCTCAAAAAAGAGTTATCCAAGACTTTAGCAAGGTAGAAATGAGTTACCTTTAAAATTCTTAGGTTTCGTAATCTGAATTGGGTGCTTGGAGATACCTTGGATATTCTGTTAATAATAAGAGAATAGCTTTAGTCAAAATATCTACTCTTAATCTGTACCACTTAGGGTATTTAACATACATCACATTTTACTAAACATTAAAACAAGTAAGCCAATGTGTCATGCATAAGCACATTAACACTTAATACAATTGTCTAATATAAAAATATAATTTTGGTGAATATACCACTAAATCCACTCAGCAGATTTGAGAACAATTCCCTCTGACTCTAGCCTGTGTGACCTTTAACATAATTATGTACAGTCATTCTTTTTACAGCAGCACAAATTATGAACTCAGTTAACTTAAAAATTCCTACATTATATGCTAAAGGTAGGTTTCTGTGAAATTTGTGTATTGGACGTTTATTTTAGAACATATTTTAAGATGAAAATTTTGGTCTCTTTGACGCTGGTCATTCCCCTAGCTCACTGCTCCTGGCACTTGGTACCTGCCTCTGCCTTAGCCTGTCCTATACCTGGTGGCTTGGGTTGTGTGCCGTGCAAACTGTTGGGGCCATTTGTTAAGCACCTTCACACTTTTACAACTTGGGCAATGTGCAATAGTTCACATGCTTCTAGACTGTTTCAACTATTCAAATCATGAGAATTTCTGTTACAACATCCTTTGGATTCTTGGTGGTACATTGAACAATAATCCCCTGCTTTGTCTGGGAATAGAACTCATTGGACATTATCAGTTGGTCTTGACACCCTAGGTAAATCTGACAAATTGTGCCAAGCATCAAAGTCCTGCAGTCTTACAGCGATGCTCCATAGATCCCACTAGAAACACTGGAAAGTGGTAGGGCCACATTGTCATCCTCACTTTTTTTTTTTAAAGATGAGGATGTGAAGGCCTTGGGGCATTAAGTCAGTGGCTCTCAAGTTTTCTAAACGTTAGAATCACATGATACTTTAGAAAATACCCAATATTTACAGTAAAAGCTCAATAATAGTGTAGAGATGACAGAGAAAAGAGCTATTAAACTTGAAAAGAAGTCAATAGAAACTAATCTAAAGAAGGGAAGAACAATAAACAAAGCCTCAGGGACCTGTGAGATAATATAAAAATACAATATCAAATTGTGTTCTCTTAGTTCCTGGAGAAAAGAAAGAGACTTGTGCAGAAAAAATTTTCTTAAATAAATAATGGCTTAAAATTCTGAAATTTAGTAAAAGACGTCTTTTCCAATTTCAAAAGCCAAACAACCCTAAATATGGTAAATTGAAAGATAACCAGGCCCAGAAACATCATAATCAAACTGCTGAAAAACTATGATTTAAAAAAAAAAATACTGAAAATAGCCAGAGCAAAATGATACTTTATATGACGGGGAACAGCAATGTGAACGACTGTAGATTTCTCCTCAGGGACCATGTAGGCCAGAAGACAGTGGAACCACAACTTTCACATGCTGAAAGAAAGGAACTGCCAACTCAGAACTCTTTCTTCACCATCATTCTCAGCAAACTAACACAGGAACAGAAAACCAAACACCACATGTTCTCACTTATAAGTGGGAGCTGAACAAGTGCACATGCACACACAGAGGGGAACAACACACACCAGAGCCAATCAGGGGGTAGGGGGCGGGGGCAGGAAGAGCATTAGGACAAATAGCTAATGTATACAGGGCTTAAAACCTAGATGATGGGTTGATGGGTACAGCAAACCACCATGGCACACATATACCTATGTAATAAACCTACACGTTCTGCACCTGTATCCCAGAACTTAAAGTAAAATAAATAAATAAATAAAAAAAATAAAAAAAAATAGAAAACTCTTTCTTCAGCAAACACATCCTCCAGGAACGAAAGTGAGTTAAAGACATTCTCACATGAATAAAAATTAAGGTATTCTGTCATCTGCAGACCTAATCTAAAAGAAATGCTACAGAAAATTCTTCGGGCTGAAGGAAAATGTTTCCAAAGGGAAACCTGGAACTTCAGGAATGAAGGATGAGCAACAGAAATGATCAATATCTGGGTAAATATAATAAATCATCTTTTTTGAGTTCAATGGCTTTTGCAAGCCTTATGCATCTTATTTGAAGTGACGAAATATAAAATCTAAAAATAGCCTGTGGTTGGGCATAGTGGATCACACCTGTAATCCCAGCACTTTGGGAACCCAAGGCAGGAGGACTGCTTGTTCCTAGGAGTTTGAGACCAGCCTGATGTAAATTTACACGGCCATTATTTTTTTAAAAAAGGCAAATGATAACATGCTGGCAATAATGCAAAGAAAGGGGGAACTCTAGTACCTGGTAGGAAAGTAAATTAGTGCAGCCATATGGAAAACAGTATGGAGATTCCTCAAAAGAAAAATTAAAATACCGTATGATCCAGCAATTCCACTGCAGGGTATGTATGGAAAATAAATCAGTATAAAAATAAGTATCTGCACTCCCATGTTTACTACAACCCTGTTCACAACAGTCAAAATACAGAATCAGCCTACGTGTCTGTCAATGAGTGAACAGATGAAGAAAATGTGCTAAATATACACAATGAAATACTATTCTGCTATAGAAAGAAGGACATCCTGTCATTAGCAGCAACATGGATGAGCCTGGAGGCCATTATGTTAAGGGAAATAAATCAGTGAATTAAAACTGCATGTTTAAGGCCGGGCGCGGTGGCTCAAGCCTGTAATCCCAGCACTTTGGGAGGCCGAGGCGGGTGGATCACGAGGTCAAGAGATCGAGACCATCCTGGTCAACATGGTGAAACCCCGTCTCTACTAAAAATACAAAAAATCAGCTGGGCATGGTGGTGCGTGCCTGTAATCCCAGCTACTCAGGAGGCTGAGGCAGGAGAATTGCCTGAACCCAGGAGGCGGAGGTTGCGGTGAGCCGAGATCGCGCCATTGCACTCCAGCCTGGGTAACATGAGTGAAACTCCAACTCCGTCTCAAAAAAAAAAAAAAAACAAAAAAAAAAACTGCATGTTTAATTCCAGTATATATACATAGTGATAGCAGAATTGTTCACCTGTACCCCTGTGGAAAGCAACTTTATTAACCAGACTGCAGTAATTGTGTTCAGTTGCTTCTACCTTTTGCCTTTAAGACCCTATTCATTTCAGGTTGGCGTCTTTTTTTTCCCCTGCTCCCCCCAACAACTTTTCCCAGTGAGGTTGTTTCACACAAATTTAGTATAATTAGATTGATACGTCACATTCTGTTTCCTATCTTGAGATCCCCCGACTTCACAAATGACTTTTAAAAATTTACATAATTATAGTTCACTCTTGCTAGTGTGCATTCTATTGGTTTTGACAAACGCATAGTGTCAGTTATCCACCATTGTAGTATCATACAAGATAGTGTTACCACCCTAAACAATCCTCTGAGCTTTACCTATCCAAACTTATTCCCAAGTCCCAGCCCTGAACTTCTGGAAACCACTAATCTGTTTACTGTTTTCTACAGTTTTGTCTTTTCTAAAATGTCACATAATTTGGAATCGTACAGTATGTAGCCTTTCCAGATTGATTTATTTCATTTGGCAATATGAATTTAAGATTCATTCATGCCTTTTTATGGTTTTATAGCTTATTTCTTTTTATCACTGAATAATATTTCTCAGTATGAATGTGTCACAGCTTATTTATTCACCTCTAAAAAAACATCTTGGTTGCTTCCGGTTTTTGGCAATTATGAATAAAGATGCCATAAGCATTTGTGTGCAGGTTCTTTTGTGGACATAAGTGTTCAAATTAATTTGGTAGATACCTACATGTGTAATGGCTGGATCATATGACACTTAGTTTTGAAAGAAACTGCCAAACTCAAAAAGTGGCCGTACCATTTTCCATTCCCACCAGCAAGGAGTGAGAGTGACTGCTGTTCCACACCCTCACCAACAAACGGTAATGTAAGGGGTTGTTGGTTCTTGATCTTAGTCGTTCTAACAGGTATATAGTGGGATCTCATCATCGTTTTAACCTCCCACCTTTCTGACACCATGAATTCTTCTCATCCTTCAAGTCTGCACACAAGGAGACTTCTTCCTTTCCTTGAGGAAAAAACCTCCTCTAGCTCCCTAATCAAGCAGGCTGGGGGGTCTGCCACAACGCTCTGAAGAGGATCCTTGACATCTCTCAGTCCAAGTACTGACCACAATATTGAACAGCCGAGGACCTGGATCCCCCTTTCCAGGAGCACCTCGTACATGGAAAGTATGTAATACATGTGTGTTTACTGAAGGAATGAGAGGCACTGAAAGCACATCAATAATGAAAATTGAATACATATAATACACAAATTGCCACCTTTGACTAAACTCTCTCCTTCTGCTTCTGCCTTGTGCATACATCCCTCCAATGCTGATGATGTGCTGCTACACAGAACGTACCGTGATATGCAGCCCACGGTTGGGCAGCAACACAAAATGAACTCACACACAAATCTGGCCTTCTGGGAGTTACTGTCTGTCACGATGTGTGTATCACACACACAAGTCACATAACACAGGGTTCAAATGAACAAAATAAAAGGGTATCTCAGGAGACTCTCCATGGCACTCTGAGGGAAAGAGAGAGTACTTTAGGCCCCAGAGGAATGAGGCTGGGCAAATCAGCCTCACTGATGGCAAATTTCCAGGAAATCAGGAGATAGGAAGCTGCCACAGAACCACATGTGTTTCTTCTGTAACCAACCTTTGTGGCCCTTCAGCAAGGCCTCTCTGGAGGAGGTACCAGCCCGTGCCAAGCCTTCCATGGCCAATGCTCCCCGTTGGTTGTGGCACTGTGCACCAGCCAGATCTGAGAATGTCTGTTCAAGTACACGGGTTCACGTTCCCAAACACATGAAATGCTGCCGTGCTTCTCTGTGGGCCTCTGTGATGAAAGCAGCCATCAGACAGAGCGCTGTGTCTAAACCCCATGAGCAAACACATGCTCACAGGTGTCTACGTCAACAATGAGCACATACAGCATGTGAGCTACCAAAGACCAAGGGCAACCAAAGTGGCTGTGGTGGGAAGTGACAACTAACA